GGGGTCTTTGCCCCCCCCTAAAATATTTGAGCCCCCCCCCCATCCAAGTTGATGGGCATTGCCATTCAAACGCTGTGTGTGCACCGTGTCTTGTGATCGATTATGTGGGGGGGGCTCACAGCTTCTCCCATATCTGCAGCCTTGGATCCCAGCAGAAATCAGGCATGGCTCTATCTCTCAGCTGCACAGCCTGCAATCTACTTCTAGTCTCTAGTTCCTACAACTCAACTCTGAGTTGTCTTTCCAACAGACATTTGAGAGAGCATTTTCTTTCTGGCACAGAACCACTTCCTTTATTTACGTTAATGACCCATACTTAGGCCATTACCAAGAAACTTGCCTGCCTATTCCAGCAGTTGAATTAGAAGGGACTCATACAGCCTACCCCAATCTAAACTTACAATACTATTCTACAGCTTCTGTGCTGCTGCTACCAGATTTCCACACCCTAAGTCGACAGAAACTTAAAACACCCAATGGTTTTGACACTTCCTCTGTTGAAAACTCTACATAGTGCATCCAGCTTCTCATCTGAGAAAAAAAGTACCCCTAAATATCTTGGGGGGGGGAGAGAATGTGCACACCCAATTTCTACTACATCTAACATTCAGAGATGTTTGCAATGTCTTTTCTGGGAAAAATACCACTTTGGGAAGGATTTTATACTTAGGCTGCAAGCCTTCATTTTTATAGTAATTACTAAACTACTGAAGAAGGCATTGTAACTCAATCTGAGTTAAAGATGTCAAGACTGTGTCATCTGTATATATAAGAGTTGAAATGTTTTTAACTGGAGGAGGGAATATTGAGAGGAAGGCAACTGTATAACCACATCATTTATATGCAAGTTGAAAATGAGAGGTGCCAGGATAAATCCTTAGCAGAGGCCCTTTGAGACTTCAGATGGCAGCATAGAGAGCCTGCACCCCAGGGTGGGGAATCGGTAGTCTTCCTGGTGTTGCTGAACTACAATTCCCATCAGCCCCAGCCAGCTGAGAGTTGTAGTCCACAATATCTGGAGGGCATCCGGTTGGCAAACACTGTCTTAAATCTCTGCATTGCAGTGTCAGGGAGGGGGTGCAAACTCCCAGTCTGGTGGCCTCTGAGTGAAGGTCAGAAAGGAAGAAGAAGAAGAAGAAGAAGGAGAAGAAGAAGAAGAAGAAGAAGAAGAAGAAGAGGAGGAGGAGGAGGAGGAGGAGGAGGAGTTTGGATTTGATATCCCATTTTATCACTACCCAAAGGAGTCTCAAAGCGGCTAACATTCTCCTTTCCCTTCCTCCCCCACAGCAAACACTCTGTGAGGTGAGTGGGGCTGAGAGACTTCAGAGAAGTGTGACTGGCCCAAGGTCACCCAGCAGCTGCATGTGGAGGAGTGGAGACGCGAACCCGGTTCCCCAGATTACGAGTCTATCGCTCTTAACCACTACACCACACTGGCTCTCTACGCTTTTCTTTTTTTGCAACGAAAAAATAACCTGTCCCCACTTCCAAGCTGCCACACAGTTTGCAGCAGAGAGAAAAACACACAGAGAGCCTTTCTACCAACTAACAGGAAGTGCATGAATCTGCCCTTAAACTCTGAATGAAAATCCCAGCCTAATCCTCTCATTAGACGATGTGAGCTGTTTGACAGAACAGCCATTTGGAGAAAAGGCAAGGATGTTGGGAGCATCGCAGGACGGTCTATCTCCTGTTCGGTGCCAGGCAACATGTGTGCCACTCTGCTAAGAGAGGAAGGCAGACAAGTCCACACCTCTCGCTTTCTCTGCCTATACGTAGTCACTTTCTTGACAGTGATGGAGAGGGAGGGAGGCATGCCGTCCAAACTCAAGAATGTAAACCACATTTGTCTAAGTAGGTTGCCATAGTGACAAAGACTCGGATGTAAACAGAATCACAAGTAAAATGAAGACAGCGACATAAAACAATAGAGTTTTCTTTATATATATAAAAAATTGCTCACATCTTCATACCGTGTCAAGAGAAAATGTGCTGCTGTCCTTGACTCCGGTGCCCAATGAGGTGTGAAATTTATCAAAATGTGAGGGTCAATGTATGGATGCTTTTAATATTTTATGATATCGGAGACTGGTTACACACAAAAAAAAAGGTCTGGGCAATAAATCAAACTGCAAAAAGCTTGTTTTGAGGGGCGGGAGGTGGAGAGTGATGTCTGAGCCACAGGTGGTTCACAGCAAGGGGTAGCTGGCTGAGGAAGCCCCTTCCTCTTGTAAAGAAACCCAGAGGAGGGCATTTTGGAAAGCAAACACAATTTTTCCGCCACAATAGTTCTGGAGAAATGTTGCTTTTCAGAACCGGCTCTTGTAAATTCCACCTCTGAGAATCCGGCACCATCCCCGTTTCGTTTCCACCAGCTGTGCTGATCCTGATGCTCCATCTATGCGGATTAGCATCAACTGGGGGGGGAGGGGGAGCCCAGAAGATGGGAAAGTGATTGTGAATGGAATTTCTCATTAAGAGGATTATGGGTAAAAGAGATTAGCTTTGTCTTGGCAATCTATAAATATTGTGCATGTTTTTGCATTCTTCGAAGAAATGTTAATCTGTTTGGTTCCTTTGAAAAGCTATAATTGCCTCTTGTGTCTTTCTTACCGAACTGTAATGCTGATTAGTCTCTAATGTTATTTTGTTATTGATTAATAAACCAAACTAAGCCTGCCTGTCTGAGGTTGTTCTCGTCATTAATACCTTTAAAGGAAAACAAGCACACCAACACTCTCAGTTCCCAGAGTTCAAAACTGATGAGTCATTTCTTTCCGCCTTAATCGCGTATTTTTGGCTGAAAAGGATACTGTTTTATTTTGCTCTGTTTCTGATCTTTGGGTAGAGGTAAGGGGTATTCTGTTATGCCTCCACATTCAGGAACATGCCCACAGGTAGGAAGTAAATGGACCCAACCTTGTTGCTTTTCTGGGTGGAAGACAAAAGATGCAATGCCCATTCAGTCCAGGAGTTGGGATGGTTTTTAGCCAACTATGGTCTACTGAAATGAATGAACCTAATTTAGCAATTTTCATTCACTTCAAAGGCTCTACACTGAATAGAACGAGCATTGCACACAACCCCGTAATTATAGTTTTCCTGCCTTTGGGATTATTATATCTTGTCACTTTGTTGCATTAGTTTTGTTTTGTTTCAACAATTTATATGCCACTTGACAAGGGTCTCCAAGCAGTTTACAAAGATGCAACAGGAAAAACAAATAAACATCAGTTAAAAGTCGAAAATCAAGCATTGATTAAAATGCCAATGACGACAACAACCTCTTTGGGGGGGGGGGGGCTGCCTGACCTCAGCTGGAAGGGAGTTACACAAAATTAGGCCAGCAATACTAAACACACAGCTTCTGGTGCATACCGTGCAATGGAGGAACCCCTAACAGTGACTCCACCCAGTATCTCACTGACCGAACAAGGATATAAGGGCTTAGACAGAACTTGAGGTATCCACATTGTTAAGGGCCTTGTAACTGAATACAAGAACACTGAACCCAGCCTGGTACCATATGGGCAGCTAGTGCTAAGTCACAGTGACAGTTCAACCCCGTGAACAGTACAGTGGTACCTCGGGTTAAGTACTTAATTCGTTCCGGAGGTCCGTTCTTAACCTGAAACTGTTCTTAACCTGAAGCACCACTTTAGTTCTTAACCAGAGGGACTATTTCTGGGTTAGTGGAGTCTGTAACCTGAAGTGTATGTAACCTGAAACGTATGTAACCCGAGGTACCACTGTATAAGTGCTGAGCCTAAAAGCCTTCAGAAGCTTCAAAGTTGGAAGACTATTTTGGCAAGGTGGGACCACAAATGGGGTTGATGTGTTTGCCCCCACTTCCTGCTAGTGGCATCTTTCTTCCTGTTGCTGTCTGGCACCAGGTCCTCAATGCATAAGCCCATCATTTTGATCCAAAATGGCATCCAATTGTATCCAAAACCTAGATTAAAACCTGGTCCTGTATCCCAGGAACCGTCATGCAAAATTTGGCTACGATGCCTTAAGAGGTGTCCAAATGCATAGTAAAAAAAACACTTTCCAAAATATATAGTAATTTGCTGTCTGTAGCCACGATCTCTGTTTCTGTCATCTTCTTGCTGCTACACTGAAGGATTTTTGTAACCACCAGACACAAAGAGAACATGAGATTGTCCAGCTGAAACTACAACCTCAACCAAATCAGTTCAACATTAATATCTGATCTAAAACACAGCATAAAATTAATTTCTCTTCTGGAAAAGAGCGGGGAAGAGATTGAAACTGACTCATCAGATTGCATCCTGCCTCTGCATCTAATCCACAAATGAAAGGTGCTTGGTTCTTTCAGATTCAAAGGAGTCAAGATGATGAGAAGGCAATCTCCTGGCAAGATAGATGTCAAATCCAGCCCGAGGACTCCAATCACAACTATTGATCTCTCTAAACCTTCCTTCAAAAGACTTAAAAAACGGCCCATCTCCATTTCCCAGATGATGAAAGCAAATTAAGTCTAAGTAAGCAGGGCAAGAAAACACAGACCCCGTCAACTTTTGGAGGGGTCATTTGGAGAAGAATTGCAGAATAGCTGTCTATGCAATTGCAGGAAATGCATCCTCCTTCTCCCCCAAAGCAGAGCAAGAAAGCAAATACATATATTCTAATTGCTTTTGGTGGTGTTCCAGCCTATTATAGGGACTTAGTTAAAGCATGCTAACTAGATTGCTGGCAATAGGAAGCTCTCTCTTAATATGCATCAGGACTCTCTCTGCTGTCAAAAAATCAGCTAGAAGCAGCAGCATATTGGTGCAGAAGATGGGGTCCAGTTTCATGGTGCCCACGGGACTGCTTCTGTGACCTTAGGCAAATCAGTCTTTTTGGCATCTAATATTGATGTGATACGGAGTGAGCTAGAGTCAACAAATCAAAATAACCAGCCACAGCCTTTGACATTCCTGCCCGCTCACCTCTCTGTCTACCTTTGAGGCCACAGCTCAGTGGCAGAGCACATGAGCTCACGTAGCTTAGTGGTAGAGCATTCGCCTCGCATGCAGAAGGTCCCAGGTTCAAGCCCCAACACCTCCAGGTGTGGCTGGGAGAGACTCCCTGCCTTAAATCCTGGAGAGTCATTGCCAGTCAGGGTAGACAATAGTGAGCAAGGTTGAGTGAAGATCTGGCTCAATATAAGGCAGCTTTCTCCGTCCTTCCTAAGATAAGGTCGCCAGACGTCCCCGTTTCCCGGGGACAGTCCTTGGATTTACAAATCAGTCCCCTGATAAAATCCTATCATTCCTACTGAAGTTGAAAAGTGTCCCTGGATTCATTGAAAAAAAGCTGGTAACCTTATCCTAAGAATGAGGATAAAGGAATCACTGTTTCTGCCTGTCTCATTGTCCCAGATCTGTAACAAGTAACAGGTGCCAAGTCTAGGTCAGGGTCTGACATCTGTAGCTAAATCTGTTTCAGGGCCTCTCCAGACATCCTTTGTGCTGTATTATGCATTCAGGATTATTTGTGCTTGTGGTGGTACCATCAGGGCAGTGGTATGTGATTCCACTTTCAATACTGTTTTGAGGTGGAAGAGGCTGCTTCATTTCCAATCAGTATACATGTCCTATACTCCTGAAGTCCTGTAACTTTCTATATCACAAATGTTCCAGTTTATTTTTACTGCCCTGCTTTAGTTTGAAGTGTAGCACCTCCAGACACCAATAATGCATCACAGAACAACGAATATGGTAAATTGGAATGATGCATGGACAGTGCAAAAGAAATACGCCACTACCCCACACTGGTATTGCATCAGTGTCATGTTGCAGAACATGCCTGCAAAAACTCACACTCCCCAAAACCCAGACTCAGGAAGCAAGAACAAGCCCTTCTCCCATCCCGCCCCTCTCTAAACCTCTTCATAAAGAGGGTGACAGTGGGGCTGCAGAGGGTCAGAAAGAATGCATCTCATCCAACATTCACTGCTTCAGCAACTTTGCAAATATAGATAGATAGATTACACACAAATGTCTTTATTCATTTCATCAAGAAGCAATTAGGTGTGTGAACGGGAAATCTGAGAGTGCAGACATTACCCTTCCTTAAAGGAAGTCAGATTTTTCTAATTATGTGAGGGAGCAGTTTCAGCGAGGTTCTCTCTTTGGAGGCAGCTGCTGTAGCAGGAGCTCCAGTTTATGTAATTTATCCTTTCACCCCTATCTCAATAAATGTGCATTAGAAAAGAGTGGGGAAGAAAGCAAAATAGAGGTTATATACCAAATTAAGGAGGAGGCAGCAAAGGAAGAAAAAGATGTGGGTGAGAGAGAGAAAATACCTTTGAGCATTCTGCAAAGTAGGTGTGTGCGAGAGAAAGGGAGGGGAATCAGTCTTTTAATCTACAAAGGCAGCCAAGTAAAACCGAGGGGCCATTTTATTTTATTTTACTTTCTTCTCTCTCTCTCTCTTTGTTGCTGATGAAAGAAATGCCGGAGAAATTGACTTTTGTTCCCTAGGTTCAGTTTCACCCCGCTACCTGCAATATGATCACCTAGTAGGTTTTCAGACAGAGAACCATAACATATTTCAGCATACAGAGGGGGACTGGTGATAAGGAAAATTCTGGGTTGAGAGACTACTCAACAGCCCAGTTCGTCAGGGTACAAGTCCCCCACGGGTCCATGCAGTCAGTAAAAGAAGGAAATTCCACCCAAGTAATTTGGAGCAAAACAGCAGTCAGTAGACTTAGATCCTTTATTGTTGCGTAACAGGTTCAAACAGCAGCGAGTGAACCCGAGCATGGGGCGACATTGACTTTTAAAACTTTCCCACCATATACAGTTCATACAGTTCATACAGCATCATTGATACATCATTACCACATCACTAAAATGTCAGAAAGGGGAGGGTTATACAATATTAGCATAAGCAGAGGCAAACACCTCTTAAGTACCTACGATCCAAAGTGCAATAGAACTTCCTTTGTGTGTCTGGACCCCTAGGTAAGTCTGGTGATGGGATTTGGCTTCCCTTGGCCAACAATCAGCTCAGCAATTGTCACCTCTAGGCACTTCCCTGGGTAGGGGGGGTGTACATGTCGTGGCGGGAGGTGGCAGGGAAGAGAGTCCTTTTTCCAAGGGCAAAATGGTGTTGGAATGGAGGAAATTGGCAAAGGGGTTGATTTTATATGGTTTATAAAGCTAGGTATCTTTCCTGAGCTGTCAAGTCGAAAGGATGCATTCAGGCATAATATTTGTAACATTTAACAACTTTAAAGATGTGCCCCCACCCCTGTAATTTCCATAACACTGGTGTCCCTTGGGACTGGGAGGTTGGAAGGCAGGGAGCCCACCCTGACACGAGAAGCCAATTCTGTATTTGCTGCAGTCATCCTGTCTGCTGGGTTCTACAAGGGCCACACTGAGATGAAGGAAGAGGAAGCCAATAGGCAATGCAACCCTCAAGTTTTTTTTTGGGGGGGGGAAGCAGGCACCTAGCAGGCTAAGGTTGGCAGGGCAGTGCTTCATTTGCCCTAAAAAATTGCCCTAACAAATTTGCTCAGTAATTATTATTTTTTAAAGCCATTTTCCTATCCCCAAAGTGGGAAATAATTCTTGCTATTTTTTAAACTTCTCTAAATTTGTACCAAAGGCTGCAGCCACACCTTCATAATGACCCTCTATTAAAATGTGACCCAGAGAAGACTTTGAAGATTGTAATGCTGCTTCACATTTTGAGGCAAGCATTATGGGTCCCTAAGGCTCTTTATTTCCAAGCTCAGAAATATCTCGGGGACATTTCTTTTCCTAACCAGAGTCACTCCAGTGTAACATCCCTGTTGGTGGATTGGGTCCCATGAATGAAAAAGGGGGCTCTGTGATTAAGATAATGCTGATGATGATCACCGATTTATTAATCACCTTCTAAACAACAGTCTCAAGTCAACTAATGCTAGATATAGTTAAAAATAGTTAAAAAACACAAATACAACAAATACATTTAAAGCAAGTGCAAAACTGTAGACACTTGTGGTAAAGAGTTATTTATTCCCTTGGGGAAGCCAGTTGGAACAAAAATATCTTCCAATTGTTTCTGGAAAGTGCAGATAGAGGATGCCTGTCCTGTCTCAAAGTGATGTGATCAGAAAACACACATTCTACCTCCGTGGATGAACACACAGAGTATCAAGTTTCAATGTGTACCCTTGTAATATATCCAGGGCTTCTAATTTCAGAGAACCCTTTTCCATAATGACTTGTCTAGCAAGGTACCCCTGGAGGAAAGTTTCCTGGACTCAGTTCCATGCAGGCTTTTGTTGCGCCTGCACCAACTGTCTCTAATTATCAAGAAGAGCCCAACAACATCCATGGTTTTTTATTTTCACCTTAGAGTTGCAGAAGTAGTAATTCTCCAGGGGTTAGCATCACACCGATGATGGTTTTTTTTAAAGAAGGATTTATCATTGACCCTGCCAATGCTTCCCCCATCAGGACCACACTGCAGCTTTGGGCTGCCACCACAGGTCACTCATTTTTCACCTTCTCTTCTCCTCGTCTTGGGGGAATTTAAGTAAAGTAGTGGTCTCCTGCCACGGGATGGATCTCAGCACCAGCTCTTCTTCCATAATAAGTCTGCCAGTGGGGGGGGGGGGAGGTCTGAGGAAAGCAGGGTGAGGTGACCAACTTGTAGCAGCAGCAAGTAGCTTCTCCCCAGACCACATGGGGGAGAGGGTTCTGTTGGTAGCACAGATATTAGCAAGTTGGGTTTCGGGCTTGCATCTGGGAACAATGTGTGTGAGAGAGAGGGGGAGGAGGGAGGGAGGGGAGAGAGAGAGAGCAAGAGAGAGAGAGCGAGAGCACATGACCGCACATGTAAACACCTGTACACGAGTACTAAATCACAATGCAGTACACAGTCTTCCATTTCAAATATTGCAGCTGCCATGGACCACTTTGAGAACACATTATCAGACAATTACATTTTTCAAATGTGTATGTATTGTAATCCAAAGGACATGAATCCCTCTTGGCTTTCACATCAGCTATCGCAAGGAAATTAATGCCACACACAGAAAGCAGAGTAGGGCTTTTAGCAAATGCGCGAAGGGTGCATTTGCATGCAATGATCTCTGGTATGAGTATCTTACAAATACATCTGTTTTTAATTTGTGAAGGATATGCCACTTCTTGCTTCCACTGTTGCCTCCTCCTGGATTCTGAGAATGCAGCCCAGGCCTCATCCAGCACTACAGAAAGCAGTAAGTTGGTAGTGCGTGGGAAAGCTGGACTTCAGGACAAGTTCTAAGAAACGGGGTTAATTTATCAGAACACCATTTGAAAATTGATCACCTGATGTGTGGGAAGAATGGCCAGCTTTGAAAAAGCAAGTTTTGAGTCCAAGTGAAATTCAGGACCTTCTGCTTTCAAGCAGGTAGTTGTTTTCCATGTTTAGCATCTCTCACTGGGTGGCATTAGGAAAGCCATTTTTTCAACAGTGGAACAGACTCTTTCAGGAGGTTGTGGACTCTCCTTCATGGGAGATTTTAAAGCAGAGGTTGGATGGCCATCTGTCATGGATGCTTTAGCTGAGATTCCTGCATTGCAGGGGGTTGGACTAGATGACCCTTTGGGTCACTTCCAAGTCTATGATTCTTCTCTCAATCTCCCCTGCAATTGGGAATAAACCTACTCTATACAGTGGTACCTCTGGATGCGAACGGGATCCATTCTGGAGGCCCGTTCGCAACTTGAAAAGAAAGCAACCTGCGTCTGTGCGTGCACGGGTTGTGATTCACCGCTTCTGTGCATGTGCATGATGTCATTATGTGCGTCTGCGCATGTGCGAGCAGCGAAACCTGGAAGTAACCCTTTCCGGTACTTCCGGGTCGCCACGGGACACAACCTGAAGCAAACGTAACATGAGGTATGACTGTATGCCCATTCTAAAGCTTACAAAAATCGTAAACTTGAAGTGCTAATTAATATTAATAAATATAGTGATTGACACCCGTATAGCAGGTTGTGAAGTTTATATGAATCCCATGGCATAACCATATGAGACATCACTGGCACTTTTTAATGCTCATATTCTAAGTCCCCCAACTCCTGC